GCATTCTGGCACCTGGGGGTACTTGCACCTGGGGGCACTGCACCTGGGGGTACCTGCACCTGGGGTACCCGCACCTGGGGGTGCTTGCACCTGGGGCACTTGCACCTGGGGTACTGCACCTGGGGTACTTGCACCTGGGGGTACCTGCACCTGGGGTACCTATTGGGGTACCCGCACCTGGGGGGTACTTGCACCTGGGGGTACTTGCACCTGGGGGCACTTGCACCTGGGGTACCTGCACCTGGGGGGTACCTGCACCTGGGGGTACTTGCACCTGGGGGGTACTGCACCTGGGGGTACCTGCACCTGGGGGTACCTGCACCTGGGGGGGCACCTGCACCTGGGGGCATCGGCACCTGGGGGCATGCACCTGGGGTACCTGCACCTGGGGGTACCTGCACCTGGGGGCACTTGCACCTGGGGGTACTTACCTGGGGGCACCTGCACCTGGGGTACTTGCACCTGGGGGTACCTGCACCTGGGGGCACCTGCACCTGGGGTACCTGCACCTGGGGTTCCTGCACCTGGGGGTACCTGCACCTGGGGGTACTTGCACCCGGGGTACCTGCACCTGGGGGTACTTGCACCTGGGGTACCTGCACTGGGGGTACTTGCACCTGGGGGCAGCTTCTGACCCTGGGGCACTTGCACCTGGGGGTACTGCACTGGGGGTACCTGCACCTGGGGGCTTACCTGCACCTGGGGGTTGCACCTGGGGGGTACTTGCACCTGGGTACTTGCACCTGGGGGTACTTGCACCTGGGGGTACTTGCACCTGGGGTACCTGCACCTGGGGGTATTGCACCTGGGGCATGGCACCTGGGGGTACTCTGCACCTGGGGGCACTGGGGCTTGCACCTGGGGCTGCACTGGGGGCACTTGCACCTGGGGGTACCTGCACCTGGGGGTACTTGCACCTGGGCACTTGCACCTGGGGGTACTGCACCTGGGGTACTTGCACTGGGGTGCACCTGCACCTGGGGGTACCTGCACTGGGGGTACTTGCACCTGGGGTACTGCACCTGGGGGTGCTCTGCACCTGGGGGTACCTGCACCTGGGGGGCATTTGCACCTGGGGGGTACTCTGCACCTGGGGGTACCTGCACCTGGGGGCATGCACCCTTGCACCTGGGGTACCTGCACCGGGGGCACTGCACTTGGGTACTTGCACCTGGGGGTACCTGCACCTGGGGTACTCTGCACCGTCACCTGGGGTACTCTGCACCTGGGGTGGCTCGCACCTGGGGTACCTGCACCGGGGTCTCACTGGGGGCACCTGCACCTGGGGTACCTGCACATCTGCACCTGGGGGTACCTGCACCTGGGGGTACCCGCATGGGGTCCTGCACTGGGGGCACGCACCTGGGGGTACTTGCAACTTGGGGGTACCTGCACCTGGGGGTACTCTGCACCTGGGGGCATCGGTACCTGGGTGCACCTGGGGGTACTCACCTGGGGGTACCTGGGCACCTCTGCACCTGGGGGTACCACCGTACTGCACCTGGGGGGTACTGCACCTGTGGACACCTGCACCTGGGGGGTACCTGCACCTGGGGGCATTTGCACCTGGGGGCACCTGCACCTGGGGTACCTGCACCTGGGGGTACTTGCACCTGCACCGGGGTACCTGCACCTGGGGCATTTCAACCTGGGGGTACCTGCACCTGGGGGTACTTCCTGCACCTGGGGGGTACTCCACCTGGGGGGCCTGCACCTGGGGTACCTGCACCTGGGGGCACCTGCACCTGGGGGTACGCACCTGGGGGGCACTGCACCTGGGGGTACTTGCACCCACCTGCACTGGGGGTACCCACCCCGGGGGCACCTGCACTGGGGAGGCCTGCACCTGGGGGTACCTGCACCTGGGGGTACCTGCACCTGGGGGCATACCTGCAACTGGGGGTACCTGCACCTGGGGGCACCTGCACCTGGGGGTACCTGCACCTGGGGGTACCTGCACCTGGGGGTACTGCACCTGGGGGTACCTGCACCTGGGGGTACCTGCACCTGGGGGGTGCCTGGGACTCTGCACCTGGGGGTACTGCACCTGGGGCACTTGCACCTGGGGGCACTGCACCTGGGGGTACTCACCTGGGGGGGCACCAACTGGGGGCACCTGCACCTGGGGGCACTTGCACCTGGGGGTACCTGCACCTGGGGCACTTGCACTGGGGTACCTGCACCTGGGGGGCCTGCACCTGGGGGTACCTGCACCTGGGGGTACTCTGCACCTGGGGGTACTTGCACCTGGGGGTACCTGCACCTGGGGGCACTGGCACCTGGGGGCACGACCTGGGGGTACCTGCACCTGGGGGTGCTGCACCTGGGGGTACCTGCACCTGGGGGTACCTGCACCTGGGGGCCAGACTCCTGCACCTGGGGGTACCTGCACCTGGGGTACCTGCACCTGGGGCCTGCACCTGGGGGTACCACCCTGGGGCACCTGGGGCACCTGGGGGGTACCTGCACCTGGGGGTACCTGCACCTGGGGGGCATCTGCACCTGGGGGTACCTGCACCTGGGGGTACCTGCACCTGGGGTACCTGCACCTGGGGTACCTGCACCTGGGGGCACCTGCACCTGGGGGTACCTGCACCTGGGGGTACTTGCACCTGGGGGTACTCACCTGGGGGGCACCTGCACCTCACCTGGGGGTACCGGCGCACCGGGCTCTGCACCTGGGGGTACCTGCACCTGGGTACCTGCACCTGGGGTACTTCACCTGGGGGTACCTGCACCTGGGGGCATGCACCTGGGGGTACCCACCTGGGGGCAACCGGGGCACTTCACCTGGGGGCACCAATCTGGGGCACCTGCACCTGGGGACTTGCACCTGGGGTACCTGCACCTGGGGGGTACCTGCCCGCCTGCACCTGGGGTACCTGCACCTGGGGCTGCACCTGGGGGGCATGCACCTGGGGATACCTTGCACCTGGGGGTACTCTGCACCTGGGGGGCACCTGCACCTGGTGCACCTACCACTGGGGCACCTGCACCTGGGGGTACTCTCGCACCTGGGGGCACCCACCTGGGGCATTTCTGCACCTGGGGGTACCTGCACTCAGTACTTGCACCTGGGGTACTGCACCTGGGGGGCATTTGCAACCTGGGGGCACCTGCACCTGGGGCACCTGCCGAAGTGACTGCACCTGGGGGCACTGCACTGGGGCACTCCTGCACCTGGGGGTGCACTAACTGGGGTACCTGCACCTGGGGGCACTTGCACCTGGGGGGTACTTGCACCACCTGACCTGGGGGACTGCACCTGGGGGGCACTTCGCACTGGGGGCACTTAACTGGGGGGCATTCACCCCTGGGGCACCTGCACCTGGGGGTACCTGCACCTGGGGGTACTTGCACCTGGGGGGGCATTTCACCTGGGGCATCTGCACCTGGGGGTACTCGCACCTGGGGGTACTCTGCACCTGGGGGTACTTGCACCTGGGGGCACTTGCACTGGGGGGCACTTGCACCTGGGGCACCTGCACTGGGGTACTTGCACCTGGGGATTTCACCTGGGGGCACCTGCACCTGGGGGCACGACTGGGGTACCCACCTGGGGCACCTGGGGGTACTTGCACCTGGGGGTACTTGCCTGGGGGTACTTGCACCTGGGGGTATCTGCACCTGGGGATCCTGCACCTGGGGGGTACCTGCACCTGGGGTACTTGCACCTGGGGTACTTGCACCTGGGGGGTACTTGCACCTGGGGTACTTACCTGGGGTACCTGCACCTGGGGGTACTTGCACCTGGGGTACCTGCACCTGGGGGGTGCACCTGGGGTACTTGCACCTGGGGGTACTTGCACCTGGGGGTACTTGCACCTGGGGGTATCTGCACTTGGGGTACCTACACCTGGGGTATCTGCACTCCTGACTCACCTCACGCACCTGGACGAAAATAGAGAATAGACACGTAAATGAAAGGTCACTATTTTTACAAGTTGAAACAATGGACAAACAGATCTGAGCAAAAGAGTCACAACTCCTGACGAAGGTGCTGAAGGCTCTCTGGTACTGTAAGGCCGAGTCAGCCAGGTCCTGAAAACAGGACTTGGACAACCTACCTCCCCTTACCCTCCCACCCTCCTTCTTTGCTCCCTCCCCCAGCCACTCACGACTCTACCACCGCCCTCAAAAGCTCTTCTCGGCTCCAATTACCACCCCACGTTCACCTGGTGGAGTAACTGGTATGAGGGTCTTATACCACCAGGAACCTTAAATCCAAAAGCTCCCAACATTAGGGATAGGATTTTAGACCTTGTTGATAGTCTGTGGGTTAGCACTGACTTACCCCGACCCCCACAAACTCGAAGGTAAATTCTTGAAGGTTTGGTACAGATTGGAGAGATGTTTGGACCGTTGTACAGGTGTATTAATGATCTGTTGAGAGGTCTTGGTGCTCTCTCTCTCTCTCTCTCTCTCTCTCTCTCTCTCTCTCTCTCTCTCTCATAGCCCACTAGACCACCATCCTTCCAGCACTCTGCCTTATAAAAATGGACACACACACACACACACACACACACACACACACACACACACGTCTCCCATAAAGTCGATATTCAGACGAAAATCACCATTAAATAACATACCACTACGACCTTATCATCCCTTTCATTCCCTATTGGGTTAAGAAAGGGTTTAAAAGTGACTATTAAACCCTTTCATTTCACCAACCCCAAAAAAACACCCTTTCATTTTCACCTTAAAATGCCCCTCCTCATTTTCTATTGGGTTTTAAAAAGGGGTTAACTTATGATGCTTCAACCCTTTCATTATCACCTTCAGCTCTATACCTGGACTGGAGTTTAATATATAATATCTTACCTCCAGCCACGCGAAGCGGACATGATCGTATCTCGAGTGAAAATTCTCGTTCCGGATTTTCAAAAGAAATTCTTAGGTTCATTTTTTTTTTGTTGTTCTGAGCCTGATGTGGAGAACCGTGAGATCGTGTCAAACTCGTTCACTTAAGGGGTAAGAAGTAAGGGTAAGGGGTAATGGGTACAGGTAAGGATACGGAAAAGGGGTAAGGGGTAAGGATAATGGATATAGATAAAACCTAAGGGAGATAAGTAATGGGTTAATGGGATAAGGATAAGCCAAATTCACTTACTAACCATCTTACTGAAAGAACTTATTTCCCTAACAAGGCTGTCGGCACTAACGCAGCTTATCATCAAAACACCATCACTATTATCACATGTTTCTCGTCTCCTCTAATTCTTGCGACTCTCTGTTATTTACTTCTCACTTTCTTTTACTTTCTCTGTTTACACTTTCATCACCACATTTTAATTTACTATTTTCCTGTAAAAAATTATGGCAACTTTCCCACGACAGAAAGTTTTGGATGGAAAAAAAAGAAAGTGTTTTTCCCTGTTACCTTTCACCCAGTTCCCAGGGATGGTCGAGAGGGAGTCTGCTTTTCTTTCTTCTTTTCTCTATTTTCTCTCTTTCTCTCTTCCCTTCCCGCTCTCTCGTCTCTCTCTATGTACACTCTCTCTCTCTCTCTCTCTCACCTTACCTCTCCTCACCTAACCTAACCTCACTTGCCACTACACGCCTCACCTCACTCACCTCCTCACCTCCTCCCCACACACCTCACCCCACACCTCACCTCACCTCACCTCACGCACCTCACCTCACCTCACCTCACCTCACCTCACCTGCCACTACATACCCCACAGATTCTGCCAATTGACCTGACCTACGATGCCCTCCAGAATATTATCAGAATATTAAGGACCGGGGCAAGACAATAGTACAATGGCCCACCACTTGCTATTGTGTGTCTTAATTCTCTATGTGGAGAGAGAGAGAGAGAGAGAGAGAGAAGAGAAGGAGAAGAGGATATGAGATGATGTGTGTGTGTGTGTCATAATACTGCCTTTAAGCATCACAGGTGAGAATTGTACCTGTTTGATAAATATTAATTACTATCATTAAGGCCCAATAAAAGATAATTAGTTACCTTTCACCTTTACACAACACAACTAAAGCAACCCAACCCAACCCAACGCCACGCAGCACAGCACAACACAACGCATTACAACGCAACACAACGCAACACAACGCAACGCAACACAACACAACACAACACAACACAACACAACGCATTACAACGCAACCCAACACAACACAAACACATAGTCATTATTTCATTCTTTATTATATATCAAATAATTTTTTACTTCAATTTCATTCGCGTCATAAATTTCATCCCGGTTACCTGTGGGCATATTAACCCCGCCCCTTTTATGATGACGTAGTGATAACACGGCCTTGTGATTGGCAGTTGGTGTCTGCCCCCCCCATCACCTGTGCTAGGAGCGACCCTATAAATACACCGCACCCTCATCACCCGTCACTCCTTCATTAGCCTTGATGCTGATCTATGGCCGGTAATTTGTAAAATATTGTGACTGTTGGCAGAGCTTCTATAGCCTTCAACTACCCATTAATGGTAATATATTCTCCGTAAATTGTACTTGAGGTTTGAACTCCGTCTGAGCTGGCCTACAGGTGTGGCTCAGTGAGGGAGCGTTTAGTTTTTTTTTATGTTATTATTTTATTTTTTACGAGGTGTTACGGTTCAGTGATGTATAAAGGCGATTATGGCGCCCCGTGAGCCAGCAATGTGTGCTTCATCAGTCATAGGGGTGATGTGTGTGTGTGTGTGTGTGTGTGTGTGTGTGTGTGTGTCCCTCTACATACTCCTCCCTCCCTCTTTCCATCCTTCTCTTTCTGACACATTTTACTCCCTCCCACACACAGTTTTAAACCTTCTCTCTTTTTCCCCACGCATCGTTTTATCTCTCCCTCCCTCCTTTCCCAGTCTATCCCTCCCTTCGTCCCTCTCTTTCCTTTTCACCCTTCCCTTCCCCCTCACAGCCTTTCCTCTCTCCCACATAGTTCATCTCTCCCTTCCTCCACCCTTCTCTCATTCTCTCCCTCCCACACACACATAGTTTTAACCCTCCCTCACTCTCCCTCACTCTCCCTCCCTCCTCTCCCTCACTCTCCCTCCCTCCCTTCCTCCCGAGTTATGAATCGCCTTTTTATGGCCGGAAAATTGGAAACGTCGGGAGGAGGAAGCTTACATCAGTCTTGTCAAAAATCGTAGCTTCTACAACTCTCCCTCACTCTCTCTCACTCTCCTCCCTCCCCTCACTCTCCCACTCTCCCTCTCCTACCCTCCCTCTCACTTTCTCACTTCCCTCCATTACTCTCTCTCTATAACTCTATATAGAGACATCTACTTTACCCCAGAGAGAGAGAGACATCTAACGTACCCCAGAGAGAGAGACATCTACCTTACCCCAGAGAGAGAGGAGTATCTAACGTACCCAGAGAGAGAGAGACATCTAACGTACCCCAGAGAGAGAGAGAGAGAGAGACATCTAACTTACAGAGAGAGAGAGAGATAGCTAACAGAGAGAGAGAAAGAGACATCTAACTTACCCCAGAGAGAGAGAGAGAGAGAGAGAGAAAAAGAGAGAGAGAGAGAGACATCTAACGTACCCTAGAGAGACTCCGAGAGACTATCGTGGGGAGATAATGGGTAATTTTGTGAGATTTCAAGGAGTCGAGTAAGGACCCTGACAGCCCTGAACGTCTCCTGAGAAAGACGTGAACAATAGGTGCTTCCTCGAGGGGGGTATCTCAGGGTGTTGACTAGGGTCGTGATGGTGTGGGAGAGAGGGTTGGGAGGTGAAGGGAGGGAGAGGGAACTGAAGGGAGGGAGAGGGTTGTAAGAGGGAACAAGGAGGGAGAGGGATGGGTAATAGAAGGAGGAGGGATGGAAAGGGAAATTAGGGAGATTGGGGAGGGAAGGAGGGAGGGATTGATTAGGTCAGATTGGAGAAGGGAGGGAAGGATGGCGATGGGAGAAGGAAGGAGAGGGAGACAGATTGGAGATGAAAGGAAGGAAGAAGTAGGAAGGAACAGAGTGGAAGAGAGAGAGAGCGAAAGAAGTAAAGGAAGGAAATGAGAAAGAAAAGGAGAGAGAAAAAGAAAAGAACAGTGATTAATAATATTATCCCCAGACGCCCACACATAAGACCCACAAACACACACCTCCCAGCTAGGAACATAGACCATCTTGCTACTCCCCGTGAGGGTAGGAGGAAGAAAGTGCTATATGTGTGTAGTGGATGAGTACGGATGTAGGTTTTGTGGTCCAGAAACACAGCGTTTTATTTTGAGTTATGATGAAGCGTCCGACATAAGATTTCTTTTTCTGTGTTGGCGCTGAGGTTGTTGTTCAGTCAGCCCAGCGCCCGCCTCTATCGTCTTGACTGATGGTGTACTTTATGATTGAGGGTGTTGTTTTTATCACCTGATGATTAGACACCGTAACTTATTTCATCTGATGATTAAAGCACACTGACCTAACCTAACCTAACCTAACATCACATAACATAACTTAACCTAACATCACATAACATAACCTAACCTTACCTCTACTCTCGCATCTCTTCCACCTCCTCTCTTCCTTTCTCTCCTCTTCCCATTTCTGCCTCTCCCCGCCTCCCTCCTACCATAAACAGAACCTACATCATCATCAACTCTCTCTCTCTCTCTCTCTCTCTCTCTCTCTCTCTCTCTCTCTCTCTCCCATGCTCAATTCCTCCCAACATTCCCTTCCCTTCTCCTCCTCCCCTTTAACACCCCCCTCTCTCTATATCTCTCTCACTTCTTTCACCCCCTTCTCTTCCTCTCTCTCCCTCCCTCACCTCCTCCCCTCCTCACCCCTCTCACCCTCCCCCAGTGCGGATAACTTGCCCCAGGTGAAGAGGAGAAAAGAGTGCTCAGTATTTTACGAGCAGAACTTCATGGCTCTGCTGAATGTTGCTGCCCGTACTGTGTATAGTGAGAGAGAGAGAGAGAGAGAGAGAGAGAGAGAGAGAGAGATAATGGGGTCCTCCACAAGGCTGGGCACAGTACTAGGTCATTTAAATGTTAGAGTTGTAAATTTATTGTTGTTTACGATCAGCATCCTGCCTCTTGTAGTGGAGGGAGGGAGAGAAGAAAGGAGGGAGGGGTTGAATTTGGTAAATTTGTGACTTTAATATGATAATAAATTGTCTTCATTCCTCTCTCTCTCTCTCTCTCTCTCTCTCGCTTTCTTTGTTTTTATATCTCTATCTCCATTTGTTTACATTTCTTTTTTTTTTCTTTTTCCCGTATATACAGTGGGTTGGTTGGTTAGGTTAGGTTAGGTTAGTGTGGCTTAATC